ATTGAGACAGGGTGTCAATAAGTTGCTTAGGGCCTTGTTAAGTTGCTGAGGCTGGTCTCAAACTTGCGACCCTCCTGTGACAGCCTCTCAAATTGCTAGGATTACAAGCTTGCACTTGGCCTAATTCCTTTTCTTAAAGGCATATTTAGAATCATGGAAAAGGTTTTAACAGGCAGTTCTCCCTGTTTTAAATTGTCCAGAAGGGGTAGGTGGGAAACACTTATATATCACCCACTGTCTTGTCAGTGACTATGCTAAGCTCTTCCATGCATTCCCTCATTTTATTTTCACTATAAAGTGGATTATTATTCTCCCTATTTTACAGATTTTGAAACTGAGACCAGTGAGATTCAGATTCTTGCCTAACAAGGTGAGAAGCATCCAACATAATTAACGCTGTTCTTAGGAAAAGAAAATAGACCAGTAATTCCTATGCCCCCCTCTTAGCATACTTGGAACAATGCAAAGCAGCTTTGTTCTTTGTCAGTACTATGCTGCATGGCAGTTTAGAGTTCACTTGTTAAAGGAGGTCACCAAGGTGGCAAAGAATCCCAGGACCTCTACAAAGCCAACATAGAAAGACCGGGCAAGAAGTCACTGAGGGTGTGTTATCTCAAAGCCTAGCACTAACTGGAAAAGCAAATGCTGCCTTTCTGCTTCACTTTGGGTTAGAAGTGACTTAAGCTCACAATACTAAAACCCTCAAGATTTAAAAACTGATCTAGCCCATCATAAAAGAAAAAACTTCATAACCTATTTTCAGTAAATTCCAAGAAAGAATAAAGCAATAACAAGGCAAGAATATTCTGTGTATCCTCAGGGAGATGGAAACTTGCTGTTATCAAACCAAGGTATGGTCTGTAGAGCTTGTAAGACCTGATAACAGACAATTAAAAATTATCAAACATTTGCACAGTGCATGCTTAGTAATCTCAGCTGTCCCCTGCACACTGCTTCAATCCCCAAAGCAAAAAAGTGTCCTTAAAGCTGACCCCCTAGTTTTCCACCTGCCATCAATCGGCATTCCTGATAGTTTTCACATATGTAACACAGGACCAGTAACTTTATCACTCATGGAAATCAATTCCAAATTAATAGTAGGAACAGAATCCAGGTGTATCTGGTCTGCCTGATACTTTCTCTCCCCAAAAGCCTAGATCATAGATGAAAACAGTTACACTTAAACACCAATGTTTAATACCAGAAGATCCATGAGCACAGGTGTAAAATCCACCCTTTGACTAATAATGGCTTGAAAGCAAGATTTGATTACATGTCCAATATTGCTCTATAATCATCCTGCAATTTCAAGAACAACCTGTGGGAGCTTGTTGGGTTAACAGAGGGTTGAGAGGAAGAAGGCCAGTGTGCCAGCTTGCACTTTTCCCTCTGCAGTTAGCTCATTTCTGAATGCCAACTATTATGCCCTTTGCAAAAATGATATTCCAACATTTTCTTATCTTCATAAAGCTCACCTCCCAGAATAAAGCCAAAAATTCAGGGTGCCTTTTTTGTTTGTTTTTTCCTCGGTTCGAGCATGGAACCAAGGGCCTCACGCATGGTGGGTAAGTGCTCTACTACTGAGTTCACCCCTCGACCTAGGGGTTGATTTTTCTATCTGGGAAAGGAAAGCCTAAGTGCTTAAAAACATACAAACAAGCAAAAACCACTAATAGTTCAAGTAAACTTACCTGATATTAGAAAAGCTTATTCCAAATAGAGCATTGTTTTAACCTGATAGAAATAAAGACCAGCCAGGCATGGTGGTACATGCCTGTAATCCCAGTGGCTCAGAAGGCTGAGGCAGGAGGATCACCAATTCAAAGCCAGCCTCAGCAACTTAGTGAGGTCCTAAGCAATTAATGAAGCCCTGTCTCAAAATAAAAAGGGCTGGGGCTGTAGCTGGATGGTAAAGTGCTTACCTAGCATGTATGAGGTGCTGGGTTTGATTCTTAGCACTACATATAAATAAAATAAAGGCACATTGGCAACTAAAAAATATTTAAAAAGAGAAAAGAAAAAAGGCTGGAGATGTGGCTCAGTGATTAAACACTCATGGGTTCAAGCCCTGGCACAATACATACATACAGACCAAATACATACATACCAAATGGGGGGAGATTACATAATAGTGCCTTAAAATCAGTCACAAATCTTACAGTATTCAGGAAAATGAACTAGTACTCAGAAATATGACCATTTATTAGATGTCCACAAAGGGATATTGTAAAAAGAAACTTATAAATATGCCTGGCCACTAGGTAATAAAGCATTGATAAAAAAATACAACACAACACAAATGAAAGCATTTAAGTTTTCACAGCTTTGTAACTAGCTGAAAAAGTGGTTCTTCAGCTGGGTATGAATGAAGAGAGTTCAAGAGTGGCCTGATAGAGAGAGGCTGTGTGCAAATGAAAACCCTCATGTGACAGGCTAGGTAGCAACAAGAGAAATTGCAGCGGGGGGTGGGGGGGGGGTGGTCCTGGGAGAAAAATTCTGAAAAACAGTGATTAACATCTACTAAGCACTTTCTTCCAGCTGAGTCTTTTAGTTTAGGCAAAGGGCTGGGGATATAGCTCAGTAGGTAGAGTGCTTGCCTTGCATGGACAAGGCCCTGGGTTCATTCCCCAGTACCACAAAAACAAAAAATAAATTAAAAATAAAAATAAAAAAATTCTAGGCAAAAGTGGGAGAAGACAGGCTCAGCAAAGAACTCCCCCATGTTCATGGCTGGCAAATGGATCAGAATCCAAATTTCAGCAGCATTTTATCTTCACTGCCTCTCTCCTTTAATTCCTCTTCCATCAGGACCGGGTCTCATTTCTTAGGAACCACTCACCCTGTCTAGAATGCTGGCAGAGAACATCACACCCTTAAGTGATTTGTTTTATTTTATTTTTGGAACTGGGGATTGAACTACATCCCCAATCAGTCTTTATTTGTTAATTAATTAATTAATTTAGAGACAGAGTCTTGCTAAGTTAGTGAGGGCCTCGCTAAGTTGCGGAGACTGACCTCGAACTTGTGATCCTTCCGCCTCAACCTCCCCAGTCAATGGAATTACAGACGTGCGCCACCGCGTCTGGCTCAACTCTGTATTTCAATGAAAACAATTCTAACACCCACCAGACACTCCTAGAGACATCCGAGACGATGAGTAACAAAGTCAAGAAGGGAGAAGGGCGTATTTAACTTAACAATTTCTAAAAGAGGCAACAAAACTAGTTAAGTACAATTAAAAATGGTGCCCATCGTTTGCAGCAGTGAGAAACGGTAGGTCTCACCTTTCTATAAGGCCAGAGGGTAGCTAACCACAACTTCTAGCCGCACCCCCTTCAATTACAACCGAAGTTTCTGGAGTACAGCTAGGTGACAGGAGGCTTTATTTTGTTGCTCTGAACGGGATTTACTGAGAAAGCAAAAGGTCCACGCTCCAAGACCAAGCCGAGAAGCGATAAAAACGTCCCGCAGAGGCGCAGGGCCACACCGAGCCTCGACTCCACGGCGCACCGCCGGCACCTCCCCCGGCTCCCAACCAAAACCCAGGACACGCGGAAAGCAGCGCGGACTCACGGGTACGGGCACTCGACTCCGCGCCAGCTCCCCCGACAGGAAACAGCTGGCCCGGGACGCCGGGGAGCGGCTCGGAGTCCGCGGGGCACACCGCGCCCGCCTCGGATCAACCCTGCCGCCGGAGCCCGCGGCGCCCGGCCCGACCCAGGACAGGGGAGGCGGGCCGCCGAGGCCCGACCTGCGGGGCCACCGCGTGCCAGGCGCTGCAGCCCGCGGGCCTGGCTCCGGGTCCGAGCCCCGTGGCGCCGGCCGGTGGGGAATCGGCCGCGTCCGGCCCGAGACCGTTAAGGGCCCGCGCCGCGCCCAACGCCCGCTCGCTCCGCGCAGCCCGCCGCTGACCTTCTTGGGGTCCGGGTTCGCAGCCAGGCGCGCCTGCAGCTTCTCCACAACTTGGAGCGCCGACTCCGCCGCCATCGCTGTCACTGGCGCGGCCTCCTCGCCGGAACTGGGTTCGCGTTGCGTCCTCGGGCCGCAGCTCCGCCCTCCGTGCAGCCCCGGCGGAGACGGAAGCGCGACTGGCCCCTTCCGGGCCTCGGCGAGGGAGGGGCGGGGGGCGCGGGGCTGGCCAGCTTCAGGCCCCGCCTCTCCATGGAGCGCGCTGCCAGCCGCCGACCTTTGCGCGTCAGGTCCTCCGGGAGCCGAGCCCAAGCCTCGAAGACCTCTCCAGTATATAGTCCAAAAAGGAATGGGCCACAGAGCAAGACTCTGGGTTTATAAGTCCTAACCTCCACCCCTCCCCGCCGGGGGCTGCGAGCTACACCCTAATTAACGCCTTGACGGCGGGCCCAGGTCCTTGCCCGGCTCTGGGAATCGGGGGTAATAAACGGAGCGACCACGTAGGTTACGCACACTGTGCCAGCAGCTGGACTATCTTAATTTCAGCCTCTCTGCAACTCAGTGAAACGAGTTATCCCCGTTTTACAGATGAGGAAATGGAGGCCCAGGAAGATGAAAATAACTTGCAAAATGTTCACATAATAGTTAATGAAGACAGAATTTGATTTTAAAAAGTCTAGGTCCGTCGTGAGTCCACACCTATGAATAGGTCAGGATATGAGGGCCAGAGGGATATGTCAAAACACCTTAGCTCCTTCAGACAATAGTGGTCTGTCCCCCCCCCTTCCCTCAACAGTGTCTGGCACAAAGGCAGCAAATAAATACTTAAAAAAAAAAATTAGTTGTAGGTGGACACAATACCTTTATTTTTTATTCATATGTGGTGCTGAGGATGAACCCAGCGCCTCACACGCACTAGGCGTGTGCTCTACCGCTGAGCCACAACCCCAGTACCGAAATAAATACTTCTTGAATGAATGAATGGCTGTTTCCTCTGATGACCTACTCATCAGCAGTAGATCCTGAATCATTACAACCCAAGACACCTCCATCCCTGCCACCAACCCTCATCCAAGAAGCACTAAAATCTATTACTTGGTAAAAGTAATTTTATTATAACTATTAAAAAGAAAAACTAAACAGTTGAAACTAACAAAACATCAGCATCAATTAAATCTTACTGGATTAGGTCAGATTACATTAGATTCTAATCAGATCCCCAGGAGCAAATTGACAATGCATATGGGCTGACCTTTCCCCCAAAGCAGAGAAGCCCAGGCATTCTTCCACATTCCAGTTCTGGAAGAAAACAAAAACAATATAAATTGTTTCTTCAAATGAACATTCACTCACTCTCTAGCTAGAAAGCCCTCCCTGCCATGTCCTACACCTCTATTTGGTGTCCTGCCACAAGCTCCCTCAATAATTGACCTCTTTCAGAGAAATTGAAAAATTTTCTGTCTTGTCAAATACAAAAACAACCTGGAATGTCTGCTGCCTACAATAATACAGCCACATAATCAGCCTTGGATGAAAAGCCCATACAAAAGGGCTGGTGCTGCAGCACTTGCTTGTAGAGTGCTTGCTGGCCTAGCCTGTATGAGTCCTGGGTTCCATCCCCAGCAAAATAAGGAGGGAGAGTGGGGGATGGGCTAGGGAGGCCCACATAAGATTAATGACCATTCACTTTGTGCCCTAAACTCTATCTAGGGGTATAAAGGAAAAGGCATTGAACCAAGTGTGAGACCTGGAGTCTCTTCTGCACAACAAATGCTTTTACACTTTAAATTCCTTCCATTTTGAAAATGCAGCACTGGTGTAATGGAATACAGGCTGGGTCTTAAAGCAGAATTGCTGACTAACTGACCTGGCGCATACTTGGGACGCATGGAACATTTTGCAAATATTACCCAGGGAGATCTCAACAACCAAAATGAAAAGAAACCATACTTGCTGCTGATGGCTTCTGGAGAGGGTGCACCACCCTTTGCCCCCCTGTAGTCAGTCTACAAAGTACTCTGACATTTGGATATTGTGACTTCTCTGATGAGGAGTTAATTACATATGTTATTATATATGTTATTGTCTGACTTAATAAAAAAAAGTTTTTAGCTGGACATGGTAATACATGCCTATAGTCCAGCAACTCAGGAGGCTGAGGCAGGAGGATCACACAAGTCTGAGACCAGCCTGGGTAACTCAGTGAGATCCTGTCTCACTGTAAAAAAATAATTAAAAAAAAAGGTTGGGAATGTAGCTCAGTGGTAGAGTGCCCTTGGGAGGGAGCAGGGGTACCAGCCAAAAGTTTATGTTCACTGGAGGTTACCACTGTAATTCTTGATTTACACAGGCATGTTCAACACAGGAACAAATTGCCTAAGGTCAGGGTAGTTTTGTCCATCTCAAATCAGCAACACTTAGCACACAGATAACATTCAATGAAAGTTTGTTGGAAACTGAACAAATCATTAAACTTAAGGCAAGATCAGATTTTCATCTGAAAACCTGAGAGGGGTTCTCTAGACACATACCAACACTATTAGAGCTTCTTCATGAGAATAATTAACAGATAATTAATAATTAACTTTCTTATTATGCCCTGAAGATGTGTTTAAGGCTATAGTTGGGGAGAAAAATGGACAGGGGGGCTCTTATCTTCTGCTTTGTACATTTTTTGAGTTTTTGCAATAAGTATAGTCTACTTTCATAATCAAAGTAACTTAAAGATACTTTTATTTTGTTTTAAACATTTTTTTTGAGAGAGAGAGAGAGAGAATTTTAATATTTATTTTTTAGTTTTCAGCGGACACAACATCTTTCTTTGTATGTGGTGCTGAGGATCAAACTGGGCCACACACATGCCAGGTGAGCTCGATATGCTTGAGCCACACCCCCAGCCCAAAGATATTTTAATTTTAGAGAAAAGCAATCCCAGGCTGGCTCATATTAGGAAATTTGAAACACTGGAAGATAATAAATAATGATGAATCATCCATCTTGTCCTCAACAGCAGAAAAAAGACCCTCTCCTAGAGTTTCAAGTGACATTCTTCGGGCTGAACAGACCCTGTACTAAGTAAAGGTTACTGGCTTGAGCTCCACCCCCACCCCACTGCCCTGGGCTCTGCCATTCATCTTATCAAGTGGGCAGCACCTGAGGTTCTCAGATGGTGGGTACAGGGAACACAGGCTGGGGCTCAGTGCTGACCTGAGTTCCAATCTCCCTCTACCATGCTAACTGTGTTGCTCACAATTAAGTTGAACTCACTGAAACTGTTTCCTCCTCCTTTCTAGACTTCTTGTGAGACCTGTCATCATGTTAAATGAGTGAAGTTGAGTAGTATTTTTGAAAAAGCAGCAATTGTTAGGAAAATGCATTGCCTCAGTCAAGAGCATTCTGGGATCTTCTGTAAAACAGAGTGAAAACTCCTCTTCTGGGCAATTTTGTTCTTCACAGCTGTGGCTACAGTTCTTCCAAAGGGCTCAGGTTTCTGAATTTACTATGTCCATCTTTGTTTCACATCCTTCAAACACATTCAGCTGGTTATTTACTCAGGGATGGCACCTTCCTAAAGGATGTGTTTCACACTGGCTAGATTCACTCCTCAAATACAGTAATGGAAATGGAGATGGCCTGCTCCAGGGAGTGGTGCCTAAGATTCAAAATCCACACTTTTCACAGAATGCCTGAAAGTTGGATTAAACTTTCCACTAGCAACTTAAGGATATCAAACCTGGATAGCCTCTGAGGTTCTTTGTGTGAAGAGAATATATTTCAGCATTCTCTCACACCCTTGGAGAGCAGTCTGCAGAGTATCTGTGTTTTCCAGAAAAACAGCTACCAGGAAAGTAAAAAAGTCGGGGCAGAGCTCTGTGGCAGAGCACATGTTTAGTAGGCAGGAGGCCCTAGGTTCAATCCCCAGAATAAAAACAAATTTTAAAAAATCAAAAAGTAACAATGTATATTTTGATACTTTTAAACTTTACCAATGCATACAAATTGTATTCAGGTAATAACCTACATGTCTTCCCTTAGCTCTTCATCTTGTTTTATTTTTGTTATAACACTTAACATAATTCGAAATTACCTTAATTAGTGGTTCCTGTTTTTATAGTCTCTTCACATTATGTGAGCTCCAGGAGCATCACTGTGCCTGGACCTAGAAGGTACTCAATAAATTGAGTTGAATGAAAATTACCCCCCAATACTGTACAGATTAAATGAAACTGGAAACATGCTAGCAACCAGTCAATCTTCACTGTTTTCTAGATGAGGGATTGATACTTAAGAAATTTTAATGAGAGCATGCCCTCAGCCCCAAAAATAAAATGTGTGGTCTTTGCTGGGAATCTTTACTGGAATAAAGGTGTCAGAGTTTGAGCTGAACACAGATAGTCTCCCACTGGTGGAAATGGAAAGGAAAACATAGAAGGGGGACAAAGAGGAGAGGAAGGAGTGGCTGACTGATTTGCTAGACTAAGTTTTTATACTCTATGTTGGCAGGGCTGTGGACTTTCTGTGTTTTGTGTCGTAAGATTACAAATTCTCAAAGTGATCTATGTCTCCCATCTATCTTTAAGAAAATAAAACAAAAAGATTAAAAAGGGAAGTTAAGTAGGAAGAATAAAAACTCAGCATCACAGACTGGGGTGAGAACAGCTGCCACCTGCTGAGTGTCTTCTTGGTGGCTCAGCTCTGTGCTGCCTTCATATACTTCATCTCCCTACATTCCAGTGATCTCCTGAGCAATTTTAAAGATAGAGAATCCAAGGCTTCAAAAGGGTAAGAACAGTAGAGTAGCAGAAAGAGAATAGGGGGAGGAAGGAGGGAAAGGAAGGAAAGGGAAGGAAAGAGGGGGAAATGAGGATTGAAATGGAGTAAATCAAAACCCATGCCTAGATGATTTTATCAAAATGAATCCAACTACTATGTATAACTATGCTGCTTTAATAAAAAAAAAAATTGCTCCCTCACAATAAAATAAAATTTAAAAAAAGGCTAAGGAACGAGCGAGCTCCAATTTGGTAATGGATGGACCCAAACCGTGAACAAGTCTGCTCAGCTCCAGCTCAGTGCAGGGGCCTACACTCCAAGCCTGAAGCCTGGGCGCCGATCACCCCTCCTCCACCCGCTCCATGAATGACTCTAGCCAGGCCTGCTTCCTCCTCTGTTAACAAGGAGGGCTAGTGAAGCTATGACGGCAGTACCAATGAAGATGGTAATGCCACTGACGCCTGTTTAAAATGTGCCAGGCACTGTGCTAAGCAATCTGCATTAATTCTCAACTTTACCTTAAGAAACATTTTGTAATATAGATACATCATCTCCACTTCAGAGATGAGGAAAGTTTCACTGAGGATTTGTTACCTCCCCAAAGTCTCAGAGCTTATAAGCAGCACTGCCAGGGGCTGAAGAGTCAGGTTTGTATGGCACCTGAACTCAAGCTCTTTGCCCCTGCGCTGCTCGGTTTCCTGTTGCCTGAGAAGCCACCTGGAATACCATCCAACACTTCATTCATTCATCCAGCTTTGGTGTGGGTGACCGGTGTGCAATGAGAAAGGTGAAGGCAGTATAAGATGAATTTGGCTAGGAGTAGCAGCAGATTATATAGGGTATTAGAGACTATGGTAAAGAATTTGCATTTTATTCTGACTTAATGAATTCTAGATAGGGAAGTGACAAAACCTATAATACCTTGATAAATATCCACATATGCTCACAGAGCACATGAAAGGTTTGACTGTCCCCTTATTCCTCCTTCATCTTTATGTCTTTTTCACCATTTCTCTCCCTTAAGCACTGTATTCCTCAGGGATGGGTCCAGGATCTTTGCTTTTGTAACTACACTCTCTCTTTGGGTACTCCCATCTGATCTCATGGTTTCTATCATCAAAGGGCTGGTGTTTCCCATATCTATAGGGCTAGTCCCATCTTTTAGATTTCCTGGAAGGAGTTCAAAATATGTCTGGACAGACATTTCCTCCGGTTCCCGTGTGCCTGTGACTCAGCAAGGGATGGAATTTGTTATCTTCTCCATAAACTTGTTCTCCTCTGGGGATCTAGGGGCTGTTGAGGGTATGAGGGTGCAGTTCAGTAACAGAGCTCTTGCTTAACATGAGGCCTGGGTTAAATCACTAGCATGGCCCACACACACAAAAAGTAGCTGAGTGAGTGAATGATACCTACAGAGAGGCCTGACTGCCTGGAGGGCAGGTGGTGCTTTCAGAGAGAGACCATGTGACTGAGATCTTGCAGGAAGGCATTTGCCAGGTGAGAAGTGAATGGAAGATGACTCCAGGTGAGGCAACAGCAGGTCTAATGGGATTACAGGTCTGCTGGAGCTTGGGTGCTCAAGGACATGGACAGACACACTGTTGGAGGTGGGTGGAGGGGATATGATGGAAAGCACCACGGAAAAAAAGCACCATTCATGGTGTGCCCCAATCTTTGTCAAATACCCCACCTGATAAATATCCACACATGCTCACAGAGGACACTGATTAAAGGGGTTGTGGGACTAGAATATTCTACCTGAAGACAAAAAACATACTATCTGAACACAGATGCCAAACCAGCCATACGGAACAACCACATTCAAACCAGCATGGAACAACCACATTCAAACCAGCACGACTTCCTACAGCCCTCAAGGAACTTACTCTCTAGAGAAGTCCCTGTGACCACAAAGCAGAGTGCACACCTGTAATCCCAGTGGCTTGGGAGACTGAGGCAGGAGGATTGTGAGTTCAAAGCCAGCCTAAGCAGCTGAGGCCCTAAGCAACTCAGTTGAGACCCTGTCTAAATATTTTTAAAAGGGCCAAATGTGGTTCAGTGGTTAAGTGTCCCTGGTACCAAAAAAAAAAAAAAAAAAAAAACCGACCAGCCTGAAAGGCAGAGAGCCACAGGAAGTCCATTCCAGGGAGCAGAGCTGCCTGAAACAGACTGACTCAGGGACAAATGCAGTTTAGATCCATCCCCAGATAAAACCCCTCTGACTTAGGGTGACAGAGGCCAGCTATGCTATCAACACAAAATCAAAGGGCAGCTTAGCACTGTTTGCAAAGGTGGGGCCTTCAATATTTACTCACTTAAAGGGCAGCTTCATGAGGTGGGTATTATTGCCCCTAAATAGAAGAAGAAACAGACTTGGTCAGGGTATGGGAATCAGTGGACTGGAGCCCAGCCTTCTGGCTATGAAAACAGTGTTGCCCACTTCACCACAAAAGGGCATCACAAGGCGATTGACACATGAAGAAGGGAGGCCCCTCTGTGTCCTGGGGGCCCTCCAGCTCAGCCTCCTGTTGGACCACTTCTATGCAGCTGGTTATCAGAGATTCAAAGTAGCCCTCTCTCAAGTTCCAATGTCCCTTTTAGTAGATATTTCCCCATCCCCTAAAAGAATCATTGTTCCCTTAAGGCTACTAGTTCCCCTTTCTACTTCCTAGTTTTAATGGGGTAGAATATAGAAAACCTCTCACAGTTTGTTTTTTCATCAAAGTGGGGAGCCTGATTGTGGAATAAGGTGATAGCTAAATCAATAATACTTATGCCAAGAACTGCAGAATAAAGAAGAAATCTCATGCTCTTGAAACAGGACTTGATTTGTTCAAACTATTTTTTTCCTGGTGCTGAAGATTCAACACAAGGCCTCACTCATGCTAGGCAGGTGCTATACCACTGAACTATATACCAGTCCTATTCAAACATTTACTGAGACTCTACTTGGTGGCAATACTGAGTTTGACACTGGGCCTTCTGATATGTACACAGCCCCAAATTAAACAAGGGGTCCAATCTAGTGGGTGTGATGTTATTCAAAAGAAAAATTCTGGCCCAGTGCAGTGGCACCCACCTATAAAACCAGTAAGTCGGCTGGGGATGTGGCTCAAGCAGTAGCGCGCTCGCCTGGCATGCGTGCGGCCCGGGTTCAATCCTCAGCACCACATATAAAGATGCTGTGTCCGCCGAAAACCAAAAAATAAATATTTAAAAAAAAAAATTCTCTCTCTCTCAAAAACAAAACAAAACAAAAAAAAACAGTAAGTCAGGGGGATTACAAGTTTGAAGCCAGCCTCAGCAATTTTTTTGTGGGGGGGCGGATAATTGCAAATTTAACACAAGGGAGCTTTACCACTGAGATACAGCCCCAGCCCTTTTTATTTTTTATTTTGAGATAGGGTCTCTAAGTTGCTTAGGGCCTCACTAAATTGCTGAGACTGGCCTCAAACTTGGCAATCCTCCTGCTTCAGCCTCCCAAAACACTGGGATTACAAGCGTTCACACCAGCATGCCCAGTAGCCTCAGCAACTTAATGTAGCCCTAAGCAACTTACTGAAACACTGTCGAAAAAACAAAACAAAGAAAACAACAGAGCTGGGGAAGTAGCTCAGTGGTAAAGCACACCTGGATCCAATGCCCAGTACTTAAAAAAAAAAAAAAAAAATATATATATATATATATATATATATATATATATATATATATATATATCAGGGAAACCCTTAAATTTATTGATATTCAGAGGATGATCTAAACCAAAAAGAGGGCTGGGGGTGTGGCTCAGTGGTAGAGCAGTTGTCTAGCATGCATGAGGCTCTAGGTTCCATCCCCAGCACCCCAAAATTGACTTGAAACAAAAAATATTATTGATGAAGAAAAGTTTATATAGATACATAAAAAGATATTCAATCTCAGCAGCAGTCAAGGAAGGGCACATTAAAACCACAGTGAGGGGCTGGGGCTGGGGCTGGCTCAGTGGTAGAACCCTCACCTGGCACGTGTGAGGCACTGGGTTCGATCCTCAGCACCACATAAATACAAAATAAAGGTATGATGTCCACCTACAACTAAAACACAACAAAACAAAACAAACCACCACAATGAAACACTGTTTTACTCACCAGATTGATTGACCGACTGACAGGAGCACTATGCCAGCAGACCTGAGGTTGCAGAACAAGAAGCATGGTCAGGTGCTGGAGGAGTGACAGGTACAGTAGGATCTTGGTAAATATTTTGCTAAATCAAGTGCAGAACGGGTGTAGAACAGGGAGCAATCCCACAGCCTGGGTTGAATGTGGTCTGCTGGCATATTTTATTTGCTTTCACAGCGTTCACCAAATGAACTGATTGCTAAGAGTGTTAAATCAGGAGATTGATTTCACAACTTCTCTTGAAAAATAGTCATTTCTGGCAGCTCTTGGCCCAGTCTACAATGGCCAACCCTTGGCTGGAGCTGGGCAGCAACTGTGGCCACACCCCCATGGCTCCCCTGCCTCCCACACTGGGGCTGGCTCAACTAGAGGCACAAAGCCTGTCCCTCCAGGACTGGGGATTTAATGGGATCTACATTCCTGGGAATAAAATCCAGAGACTGGAATGACCAGCTTTGTCTTAGGACATGGGACAATTTCTTCAGGGAGATACTGACATCCTATAATCCCATGTCCTTAAAACCATATAGGGCTTGGGCTGGGGATATAGTTTGGTTGGTAGAGTGTTTGCCTTTCATGCACAAGGCCCTGGGTTCAATCCCCAGCATCACAAAAAAACAAACAAAAAACCCCCCTATAGGGTTGATGCTATAATTGACCTCCCCCTGCCCTGCCCCAGTACTGAGGTTGCAACTCAGGGGCACTCTACCACTGAGCTACATGCCAAGCCCTTTCTTCTTTGAGTCAGGGTCTCGCTGAGTTGCTGAGGCTGCCCTCAAACTTTCAATCCTCCTACCTCAGGCTCAGTAGCTAAGATCATAGGCCTGCGCCCCTGTGTCTTTCTATAAATCAACATTTTTCACAGAAAAACCGAGGCTCAAAGAAGTTAAGAAATTTGCCCAATTGGTGGCTCAGCTGAAATGTGAGCTCAGGAATCTCTGAGTTAGCTAATATTGATTAACTACATTCATATGCTAAGCACTTATTGAGTGAGATACTTGGCTCCCACTGCAGGCAGCCCTGGGAGACAGAAGCAACTGCCATTCATTCCCATCTTCCTTGTGAGAAAGCTGGGGTTCAGAAGCTGCTGAGTGTAAAGGTCAGCGGTAGTTCTGGGTTTGGAACCCAGTGATCTCACTGCACTGGCTGAATCTCAGACACTGTCCCATCTGCCCCTGGTGATTCTGCAGTGTCCCCACCTAACCAACTCACCAGTTCCCTCTTCACACTCACCACTGCTAACATTTCAGTGCCTTTCTTTCAAGGCAGAAACATTTTCTGTGTTTGCTTTTAATACCCAAATGGGATTCCACGTGCTCTGCAATGTGCTGTGCCCTCTCTTAACAATGTGCTGTGGTGCATTTCCCATATCATCTAGGGACAGACTGGAATTTATTTTACTTATAGCAATAAGTATGTGGGTTTCCCCAGGTTTTCCTTATTTAAAGAGAACTAATGCATTGCCAAGGACATTGACATTGTAATCCCAGAAACTCAACTCAGGAGGCTGAGGTAGGGGGACTGCTAGTTCAAGGCCTACCTCTGTAACTTAGTGAGATTGTCTCAAAATTTAAAATAATAATAATAATAATAATAATAATGTAAAGGACTAGGGATATAACTCAGTGGTAGTGTCCCTGGGTTCAATCCCTATTACTGGGGAAAAATGCATCAAACATCCTCATCTACTTAACTTTGTGCACTTGAACATTTATTTCTGCAGGACAATTCCAAGGAGAATCCTGGGGTAAAGGTCATGCATATGTATGACTCTGATACTGTCAAACTGCCTCCAGAAAGACTCTACCAATGCATAGTTCCACCAACACTGTGTGAAAGTGTTTTCCACACCCTTGCCTGCACTGGGCGTATTTTCCCTTTGCTTTCTCAAGCTGCTTTGTTATTGTTATAATCAGTTCAGTGTCACCAGTTGATTACAACTATAAAAGGAACAAAACAAAATAATCTATGTCTAGGAAACACACCAAGATGATTGATGGCAATGATTCAATTTATGTGGGCAATGATACAATTGGTTACACTTTTTTTCAATTTTTCCCATTTTTTTCCCCCTAGTGCTGAGAATTGAACCCAGGGCCTCAACTCTTGCTAGGCAAGTGCTCTACCATTGACCTATACCCCCAGCCCTCCTCATGTTCTTAAATGAATGTTGCTTTCATAACAGTTGGGAAAATAACCTCCCTGCCTCCTTCCCTATTTTTTTTTAAGAGAGAGAGAGAAATAATTTTTTTAATATTTATTTTTTAGTTTTCGGCGGACACAACATCTTTCTTTGTATGTGGTGCTGAGGATCGAACCCGGGCCCCACGCATGCCAGGCGAGCGCACTACTGCTTGAGCCACATCCCCAGCCCTCCCTATTTATTTTAAAAACAGGTCTAGGGGTCTGGGAATATAGCTCAGTTGGTAGAGTGCTTGCTTTGTATGCACAAGGCCCTGGGTTCGATCCCCAACACCACCAAAAAATAAAAGCAAAAAAACAGGTCTAGAGTGTCAGTCTTTGGGGCAGCATGGAGGCGGGGGCTAAGGAGACTGTTCCCTTGGCCACAGGCCCCGCCCACACAGTGGTAAAGAAATGAAAGTAACTGGGATTACTAAGGGTCTGAGGCAAGGAGGGGACTGGGGGAACCCTGGGCCGGAACAGTCAGCAGCCAACAAAGATCAGACATTTTGAGAACCATTAGAGGAACCCTCCCTAAAGCACTCTCCCTGTTCCAGGAGAGGGCACTCACATGGATAGTCAGGTGACCAGACCTGAATTGCCACCTCCGGTCTCAAGATCCCATTGACTTGTACCTTTCTAAACTCCCTCAGAATCCTTTTGACTCTCCCTTAGTTGGGACTCACTCTTGGCTGGACTGCTACAACCACCTGTCATCAGCTGCCACCTCAGCCCCTGCCATACTTTCCCACAAAGCTGTCAATTCAGAATGATTCTAACATGCAAATCTGAATAAACCCCTTTAATGGTCCCCTGGGACCTTTAGCCCTGGCTCTCAGCCTAGGCTGGGAATCACCTGGAGAGCTTTTAACCCTCTCTGAACACCAGGTCCCACAGTCTGAGATTCAGACTAAAGATGTTTTTAGTTTTTAAAGCTCCCCAGATGATTCTAATGTGCAGCCAGGGTTGGAAACTGCTGGCCTCTCAGAGTGCAGTTTCTCCAGCAGGGTGTCCAGAGACCCTATGTCATTCTTTCAGCAAATAATGACTAAGCCCCTGCTCCATGCTGGACTTCTCCCAGGCGCTGAGGTTATAATGAATCCTATTTAGGCTCCTTATGAAGTTGTGGTCCATCAGGATCAATTGAGCCCTTCGTGTTTTAAGACTACTTCTGCCTCCTTCCACCTCCTCCTCTGTTCTAGTTACCATGACAGATTTGGGATTCCCCAAACTTGCCCTGCTCTGACCTCAAGATCTATCTCTTCACCCAAAATTCTAGCCCTCAGCTTCCTGGCCTAGCTAAGACAACTTGAGAACCACTTCCTCTGAAAAGCCCCCACCTAAACTCACCACCCTCCATCTGCCCATGTGACCTCTGCAGCCATCCCTGGTACCTAGTCCCTACTGCCCCTGTCATGGCACCTTTCGTTTTTTTGGTGCGCTCACCAGCTCACAGGCAGACTATGACTAAGCCATCTCTGAAGCTCCAGTGGAGGTGCTGAACAACTCTTGGGTGAATCCATAATGAACAAATCTAAACAGCCCTGAGGAGGGTGTGGATGTGAGGCAACTGCACAGGGCAGATGTGGAATGAGAGGAGACTCGGTTTCAGAAGGTGGAGGCGGCCAGCTTCTCAGGAGGTTCAGAAGAGGTAGTCCTGTAACACCCATCAAAGCTGCGTGAGTGGTGGCAGCCTACTGCCTAGTTCCCCTGTGGGGTGAAAATAATGGGATCTTGAACACTCACTTGCATACGGCTTTGCAGGGTGGATGTCAAGAGTGTAGATGGAGGCCTACATACTATGTATCTGAAAACCTCAGAGTTACAAAATAAGCCAACAACTGTTGAATATGGTTTGTTTTCTATTCTATCCTATCCTCTTCTTTACCTTGATAAACATACCTTCCTAATGGCCTGGAAGCTAATTGGAATTCTCAGAGTTCTTGGGAATGTGGTGGCACAAGAACTAGACCCCGGCCCTTAGACTTCTCTTTCTACTGATAGTAAGCAGAACAAGGCCCTTCCAGTGTCCATACCCTAATCCTGAGAACCTATGAATATATTTGTTGAGAGCCACAGCCAAGTCGGAATGGCCGCTGGCATTTTGCCAGAAGGAATGGTTTCGAGGTGACCCCAGGGAGCCATTAAGATGATGGTAATTAAGTTAAGCTGTGTATAATTGCTGTGAATGGATGATGCTGGATTGAAACAGGCTGTGTATTAATTTGTAGATAGACCCCTGCTGTCCGGCAATAGGGCGGCTCCTGCTGCCTCACTACTTTTGAGTTCTCGAGGAGTTCCCAGTTGAGTTCCGGTTGAGCTCTCGGGGATTCCTGGAGAGTTCGAGTTGGTTGGTGAAGTTCCGGTGGAGGGAGTTCCGTTTGGTGTGTGGTGTTCCTGGGAATTTGGGCAATAAAGGAGTTCCTGTTTGAACCTACAAGTGCCTCATGGCGGCTCCATTATTTTGTGCCCAGCCAGACTGCGGCATATATTATCTTAATATGACAAGGGAGATTAAAATTCCTAGTCATCTAACCCACAAAACAGGGAGATTATCCTGGATTATCAAATGGGCTCAATGTAATCACAAAGATCTAAAAGTGAAAAGAGGGAACAGGGGTCAGCCAGGAGAATGCCAATCAATACTTTTGATTATAGCCCACTGAGACCCATTTTTTTTTTTTATTGGTACCGGGGGATTCAACTCAGGGGTACTCAACCACTGAGCCACACCCCCAGCCCTATTCTGTAGTTTTTACTGAGTTGCTTAGCACCTCACAGTTGCTGAGGCTGGCTTTGAACTCACAGTTCTCCTGTCTCAGTCTCCCAAGCTGCTGGGATTACAGGCATTTGCCACCACACTGAGCCACTGAGATCTATTTGGATTTTTTCTTTAATTAGGTATTAAATCCAGGGGTGCTTTACCGCTGAGCTACATTCCCACACCTTTTTAATTTTTATTTTGAGATAAGGTCTCACTAAAAGTTACCTAAGCCAGCCTCAAACTTTCAATCCTCCTGCCTCAGGCTCCTAAATCCCTGGAATTACAGATGTGTGCCACCACACCCAGATCTGTTTTAGACTTCTGATCTCTAAAATGAGATAATAACTTTGTGGTAACTCTTACACAGCAGCAATAGGAAACTAGTACACTACCCTCCCTAGTCCCCTGCAGCCTGTAAGTGCAAAGTCACACTCTCATTAAAGTCTGCCCCTTGGCCATTTCTTGGACCTAGGGGCACACACACCAGTGTTCTTGAGAGAAGGGACCTGGGAAGCAGCTCTGGAAATGAGCAGGGAATTCTGGGATTTTGGCATTTGCAGCCTGGTCTACCAGAGGTGTGGGCTTGGGGCTAGCCCCATTCCTAGACCACATAGCTCCTTACCTGCTCACTTGGGTCAAATGGCTTCATCTCCCTGAGCCTCAGCTGTAAAATCAACCATTAGGTTATTTTTGAGCACCTTGCTTATGCCAAATGTTATGCTTAGTGACAGAGATTTGAAAATGCTAGTCCTTGTCCGCAAGGGATTCAGCTCCTTATAATTCTGACCTCACAGGCCTTCTACCCAAGAAGAGAATGGCAGGAAAAGCAGCTAGCACATGGTATGCCCACAATAAATTTTAAATTCTTTCCATTTCTACTTAATTTCAAGTAGGTAAATGGACTGTCAAGTTACAAAAATCCCAGGGCAGGGTGTGAATCTATAATGCTTATCTAGCACATACAAGGCCCTGAAATAAAATAAATAAAAATCCCTTGCTCAAACTCTTTAGTGGATTCCATTTGCTCCTGGGAGGACACTATGGCCCTTTGGCAAGTCTTTGCCTTGCTGTGTTCCTCCAGTCTGCAATGTTCTGTCCTTCACCCATACCCACCCCTTTCACTAAGCCTTCCCTTTCAGGGCTTGGTTGAAATGACATTCTCTGAAAGAAGAACTCCTTCTCAGTTTCAGAACCTCAGTAACCAGAACTGGTTTACCTGTTATCCTCTCTCCCAACACTAGGTAGGGTTCTCTGTAGCACTAACCACAAAGGTTACTATATGGCTATTTGCATTACCTATTTTTGGTAAAACATAAAATAAATTTATTTTAACAATTTAAATTTTTCATATTGTTTAAAAGACTCCCAGCTAGATGTGGTGGTGTAAGCCTGTAATCCCAGCAGCTCAGGAGGCTTAGGCAGGAGGACTGGGTGTTCAAAGCCAGCCTCAGCAACTCAGCAAGAACCTAAGCAATTCAGCAAGATCTTGTCTTTAAATAAAATACAAAAAAAAAAAAAGGCTAGGGATGTGGCTCAGCGGTTAAGCACCCCTGTGTTCAATTCCTGGTACCAAAAAAAAAAAAAAAAAAAGAAAGAAAGAAAAAGCTCCAAATATATTACATTTTTATATTGTGGCAAAGTGTACATAAAATTTACCATTTTCATCATTTGCAGGTGTGCAGTTCCATGGCATGGAGCACACTCACACTGCTGTGCTTCTCACCACCCTTTCTCCAAACTGTACCATCCCAGGATCCAACTCTGCACCGCTCCACAGAAACTCCCTAACTGCTTCCTCACAGGATGCCTGGCAACAGGGGTTCTACTTCCTGTCTCTGTGACTTACTGTAGGTACTTCATACAACTGGAACCATCTAGCATTTGGCCTGCTGTGACTGGCTTATTTCACTTAGTTTAATGTCTTCAAGGTTCATCCATGAGGTAGCACATACCAGGGTTTCATTCCTTTTAAAAACTGAGTTATATTTCACTGTATGTATATAGCAAATTTTGTTTATCTATTCATCTTTCAATGAACATCGAGTTTTTCCTACATTTGGCTATTATGAATAATGCTTCTATGAACATTGGGGTACAAGTGCCTGTTCTTAAATACCTTGGTATATACACCCAGCAGTAGAAGCAATTGTGGGCAAATGGTAATGCTGTTATGCTTACTATGGATTACTTTACATCCACTCTTCAGTGTTATGTTGACATGCTTCCTCCTGTAGCACCCAGAGGTAGGAACTCAGTCTTACTGCTGGGCCCAGCACAGGCCTGGTGCTTTGATTAACGTTTGGGAAGGGATGGATGAATGGTAAATTTAGCTGAAGCAGATATAAAGAGAAGACAAGTGACAGGGTTCCTGATGGTAATTTTCACTCCCAGAGGTCCCAAATAGACTGCCCACAGAGTTGTCTGGTTTTCCTCAGTTTTTGTTTTTGTTTGTTGTTGTTTTGTAGTACTGGGAATTGAACCCAGGGGTGCTCTGCCAGTGAGCTACATCGCAGCCCTTTTGGGAACAGGGTCTCATTAAACTACAGAAGCTAGCCTCGATCTTGAGATTCTCCAGCCTCAGCCTCCCAAGTAGCTGGGAGTACAGGTGGTGTTGTTTTTTAAATTTTCTAACTTTCTTGCCTGGGGCTCACCCTTCCTACAGCCTCACACCAGAAGCCATTAGATTAGAGCCCAAGTATCTATGCTTCAAGGTTCCTCTTCAGGCGACAGAAAACTTTTAGTCAGAAGGAACAGTGTTAGAATTCAAGCTCCATCACTTCTTGGTGATGACCCTAAGTCTCTTTCCTCATGTGTAAAATGGGAATATTGTATAATGCATACATCAACTATAAAGATTAACCCAAATATATGAAGGGTCCAGAACAAAGGAGATCTGTCAATAAATATTAGTTCTTTCTTATCTCCTCCTCTGAGCTTTCTCTGTGGCCCCCAAGTCCCTGTGAGCTCAGCTGGTAGGCATGACAATCTGACCACCATGAGAGCAATTTCTAAAACAGACCAGGAGTGGGAGGTAGTTCAGTGGTAGATCACTTGCCTAGCACCAGTCAGACAGTGGGTTTGATCCCTAGCACAAAAATGAATAAAACAAAGATTAAAGGAACATGTTCTAGAGCTCAGGAATTCACCACACATAATTCTCTCCACAGATGCTTAGTTCACAATTAGGGCTGTGAGACTTTTTACTATATCCCAGATCAACATTAGCCACATTGACAATCTCTGACCACATCTACAAGGATAACAGGAACAACTCACAAGCACAGTGTTAGAGCATGCACAGAAGTTTCACGCACAGTAGCCCCCCCTTGTCTGTGGAGTGTATGTTCTAAGACTTCTTGCCTGAAACTGAGGTGAGTATTGAACCCTATAAATACTTTGTTTTTCCTACACATACATATCTATGATAAAGTTTAATTAATAGATTAGGCATGGTAAGAGATTAACAATAATAAAATAGAATAAACAATGTACTGTAATAAAAGTTTTGTCAATGTGGTCTTGATCTCAAAATATCTCATTATACTGTACTTACCCTTCTTCCTATAATGATGTGAAATGATACAAAGCCTACATGGTGACTTGGTATGGGAGTAGGGTATAATATGTGCACTATGGAGACTTGGGTTCAAATTCCAACCGTCATTCATATGTGCTGATTTAAGGTAAGATGAAGTAAATGAGACTCAGGTTATCTGTTTCAAAAAGAGTTATTTAAAGCGTGTGATTTTTAGACACTGTCCTTTAGAGTATGATATTTTATCTTCTTTGAGAGAAAGGAAAAACTGAATAAAGAGGCTAAAAGGTCAGCATTAGATTCTAGTCAAAGTAAACTGGGATGACCAGCGGCATCAACATCTGGGAACTTGTTTGAAATGCAAATTCTCCTCCAACTTTAGATCCACTGAATTAGAAGTCCTGGGAGGCCCAAGAATCTATTTTAATAAGCTCTCTAGGAGATAAACCTGCTAAAGTTTGAAAAGCACTTTGCTACTGACAATGTACAAACTGATTCATTCTGTACCCTAGTAACTGCCAAGGTTTTTTTTTTTTAATCTTTATTTTGTTTATTAATTTTTATGTGGTGCTGAGGATTAAACCCAGTGGCTCACATGTGCGAGGCAAGCTCTCTACCGCTGAGCCACAGCCCAGCCCCCTGCCAAGTTTTTACCTATTTTCCCCAGTTACTCAATTGCTTATGTGACACCTCCATTTAGATGACTAACAGGTAGCTGGGGATATAGCTCAGTGATAGAACATTTGCCTAGCATGCATGAATCCAAGGGTTTGATTCCTAGTACTACAAATAAAGTAAAAGTTAAAGATGATTAAAAGGCATCTCAAATGCAATAGAAAAGGACTGGGAATGTGGCTCAGTGATTAAGTGCCCCTGGATTCAATCCCTGGTACCAAAAAATTAAAGAAATAAACAGTGGCTGGGCATGGTGGCATACAGTGATTAAGTATGTCAAAAAACTCTTATTTGGGGCGTGAGGTACTGAGGATTAAATGCAGGGGTACTTTACCCCTGAGCTACTTGCCCAGCCCTTTCAATTTTTTAAAACAGAATCTTCCTATGTTGCCCAAGCTGGCCACAAATTTGCAATCCTCCTGCATCAGCTTCCCAAGTGACTGCTGTTATTTATAGTTTTTGGTACCTGGGATTGAATTTAGAGGCACTTAACCACTGAGCCATACCCCAGTCCTTTTTTTTAAATTTAAGACAGGGTTTCACTAAGTTGCGTAGGGGCTGTTTAAGTTGCTGAGGAGAGCTCAAACTTGAGTCTCCTGCCTCAGCCTTCTGAATCCTTGGGATTACAGGTGTGTGCCACCACGCCCAGCCACTGTTTATTTCTTTAATTTTTTGGTACCAAGGATTGAACCCAGGGGCACTTAAATCACTGAGCCACATTCCCAATCCTTTTCTATGCTTTAGAGACAGGGTCTTTTGCTAAGTGTCTCAGGACTTCACTAAACTGCTAAGGGTGGCTTTGAATTTGCAAACCTCTTGCTTAGGCCTCCCAAACTGTCGGGATTACAGGCTCCAGCCACCACACCCAGCTCACCACTGATAATCTTGATTGCTTGGTTAAGGTGATGTTTCTGGAGTGTTTGTAGGTCTTCTCAAGTAGAAAGAGATAGAAAATATATGCTTTTTTACTAACTCATGAACACACACAATTCTCTGTACTGAGTTCCAAAAATACCTCCAATCCAACTCCACTGGGTTCATTCATTTCCCATTTACATACTTGTAGTTCTTTCTTTCACTTATTTTCCAACAGGGAGAAACCTGGTTCTCATTATGTACAATATATTTACTTATTGTTCAAACCTAGAAAAGAGACTTCTGCTCTCTCCTCCCGCTCCCCACTATGTAGAATGTTTGTGTAGAGTTCTTTTTTTCTTTAGCCTTCTAGTATCTAATCAAACACACTATTTTCTAAAGTTCCTAAGATCAGATTCTTTGTTCTACCTCAGTAAAGTAGCAACATCATAAGCCCCTTGACACTGATGCACTAGGGGGGCCACATCACCTCTGTGGGATTCTGCTCTAGAACACACAACCTCAATATAACCATGAGAAAACAACTGGCAAATCCAAACTCAGAGATTCTAAAATTAACTGATTAGGCAGGATCATGGCTAACACTTATAATCTCAGTGACTACAGAGCCTGAGGCATGAGGATTCCAAGTCCAAGACCACCTTCAGCAACTTAGTGAGACCCTGTCTCAAAATAAATAAATAAATAAAAAGGACTGAGGATGTAGCTCAGTGGTAAAGCACCCCTGGGTTCAATCTACTAAGTACTTTTCAAAAGTGTCAATGTCATGAAAAACAAAACTGAAGAATGCCCACAGGTTGGATGAGATTAAGGAGAAATAATGAAATGCAATGTGGGATCTGGGTTGGATCCTGGAACATAAAATGAACACCAAGAGAAAAACTGCTTAAGTCAAATAAAACCCATGATACTGAACCAATTTTTTTTTTTAAGAGACAGAGAGAGAGAGAATTTTTTAATATTTATTTTTTTAGTTTTCGGTGGACACAACATCTTTATTTTACTTTTATGTGGTGCTGAGGATAGAACCCAGCGCCCCGTGCATGCCAGGCGAGCGCACTACCACTACTGCTTGAGTCACATCCCCAGCCCAATACTTAACCAATTTAAACTTTGTATTTTGATTACTACACTATGGTTACATGAGATCATAACATTAGGGGAAAGGGGGTGACACAGGAGCTTTCTATAATTTTTTCCATTGGAAATTCTACTGAGATAATTATAGATTTGCAAGAAAAGTAAGAAAGCCCTTGTACACTTTGCAGTTTCCCCTAATGGTAACATTCATCCTTTGTCCAACACCATCCAAGCTATACAAAATTACAGAATAAGGGGCTGGGTTGTAGCTCAGCAGTAGAGCAGTTGCCTAGCACATGCAAGGCCCTGGGTTCGATCCTCAGCACCACATTAAAATAAAGGTTTTCTGTCCAACTATAACTAAAAAATAAATATTAAAATAATATTACAACCAGGACACTGAACAAGGATGCAACCTACCCATCTTCCCTGTTTTACTTGCACTTATTTATGTGTATGATTTCTATTTTTTATAATTCTTCTGTAAGTCTAAAATTATTTCAAAAGATAAAGAAGAAAGGGTTGGGGGAGACAGAACTCCTGAAATGCCACAGTAGGAAAGCAGCACCATCAGATTCTCAGTTCCTTCTCAAAGCCCCCCCAGTGCCTTCTTGGAACCTAACCAAGGTCTGTCCTGCACCTCTCCTGCCTCTTTTCTTTCCATTCTCTCACTTCCTTGCTTGATCCAGCCCTGGGGCCTCCCTGCTATTTCTCAAATTAAGGTATTTTCTCCAAGTTCTTTCTCAAATTAAGGTCTTTTCAGGTTCTCTGTCTAGCCCGCCTCCCCCACTTCCTGCAGGTCTGCTCAAATGAGATCTCTCCAAAGGTATCCCCAAACCACCCTTATTAACACCCTTCATACCAGTTAATCAGGGCTTGATATGGTGTTTTTGTTTACTAACGCAAGTTCCATGGGAGTAAGTATTCTTAGAGCATAAATAGTATTTGAAATACAACAGCTGTTGATAAATCGATGGATAGAAGGCTGTTTAAAAATTGTGTATAGAGGGCTGGGGATGTGGCTCAGGCGGTAGCGCTCGCCTGGCATGAGTGCGGCCCGGGTTCGATCCTCAGCACCACATACAACAAAGATGTTGTGTCCGCCTAAAACTAAAAAATAAATATTAAAATTCTCTCTCTCTCTCTCTCACAAAAAAAAAAAAAATTGTGTATAGGGAGCTGAGGTTGTGGCTCAGTGGTAGAGTGCTTGCCTTGCACATGTGAGGCACTGGGTTTGATCCTCAGCACCCCTGGGTTCAATTACCAGCACCACATAAAATAAATAAATAAGTAAAACAAAGGTACTGTGTCCATGTTCAATTAAAAAAAAAAATTAAGTTGCGTATATGGGGCTGGGGTTGTGGCTCAGTGGTAGAGTGTTCACCTAGCATGTGCGAGACCCTGGATTCGATCCACAACACCACATATAAATAAATAAAATAAAGGTATTGTGTCCAACTACAACTAAAAAATAAATATTAAAAAAAAAACTGTGCATATTTTACAGTCAATGATTGTTATGGACCTACTAAAATAGCTCCTCTTATCTGTGGTTTGTTACCTAAGATCAACCACAATCCAAGAATATTAAATGGAAAATTGCAGAAATAAAAAATTCATAAGTTCTGAGTAGCATGATTAAATCTCTACCATCCCATCTGGGGTGTGACTCGTTCTTTGTCCAACACCATCCAAGCTGTATCCACCTGTTAACCATTTAGTAGCCATGTTGGTATCCCATCAACTGCCACAGT